GGTGTTTTGCTATTTGAAAAGGGTGTTTTGCTATTTGAAAAGGGTGTTTTGCTATTTGAAAAGGGTGTTTTGCTATTTGAAAAGGGAGTTTTGCTATTTAAAAACGGAGTTTTGCTATTTGAATCACCATCATCACCATTCATCATCATCATCATCATCATCATCACCATCATCATCATCATCATCACCATCATCATCACCATCATCATCATAACCACCACTACCAACACCTACCTAAATACGTCAATCCAATTCCCAAAGCAATAAAGCGACAATGAGTGTCTTTCCTTTGCGCCTCACTTCTATCCATCAGGGCTTGAATCAAAATTTCACTGACTTCACCATTACACGAACCGGCCGCAATCGTACCACAAGCCAATGCCGTTTGCCCGATAATCTAAACAGAATACCAGTGGACGAAACTCAGTGAAGGAGTAATAGAGTTATCTAGTATAAATAAAATTAGCTTGCTCTTGTACTGTACCAGCGCTGGAAGTCATTGGACTTCTAAGGAGAACAGTCTCGAACTGATAGAGCTATCTAGTATAAATAAAGTTCGTTTAGTTTAGGTTTCCTCCTGTAGTAACACTGGATCAATAAGAGATGATCCTTACTGGACCTCTAGGGAGAACAGTTTCGAACTGATAGAGCTATCCAGTATAAATAAAGTTAGTTTAGTTTAGGTTTCCTCCTGTAGTAACACTGGATCAATAAGAGATGATCCTTACTGGACCTCTAGGGAGAACAGTTTCGAACTGATAGAGCTATCCAGTATAAATAAAGTTAGTTTAGTTTAGGTTTCCTCCTGTAGTAACACTGGATCAATAAGAGATGGTTCTTAACAAACTTCTAGGAAGAACAGTTTAGAACTGACAGAGCAGTCGTTTATAAATAAGTGTATTTAATAATACCTCCATCGTGGAACTTTTATCATTAAGTACTGGATATAATAATGACAACACATCCTCCCGGTTCGAACCAGCATAAGCAAGACCAAGTCTAGAAAAACAGAATATTTAAGTTTGTTAGAAAAGAACGAGAAAAAGGTCAATGACTAAAACCTCGGTCAGACGAGGACAGGGATGGATTTACTGGGGGGGGGTGCAGGGGGGTGCACAGCCCCCCTAGCCCTGGCCAGGAGGGGTGCAGGGGGGATGCTATTTTTCATGATAAAGCAAAAAATTATCAGAGACAAAATGAGATTCAGTAATTTGAGTAATAACATGATGATAAGCGAACTGTGAACAACAATTACAATTCAAATACTGTAGCTAGACTTTGCAGTGGTTAAGCAAGTTGATGGATGTGTAAAGTCGCTGGAACGCAATTGCAACGTACTCGTCCGGAAAAAATTTTTCCCTAAAAAGTTGTCGATGGGGGGGGGGAGGTTGTTGCTTTCCGAAATTTTTTTTGGCGGAGCACCCCCCCTACCAGACCATGCTGGATCCATCCCTGGACGAGGATACCTGCTTTGAAGACTGCGCCATGAAAATCGAAATTTTACAACATCTGAAAATGGTTAAATATCAAACCCTAAAGCACAGAGTAAGGATAAAGGCTGGAGTTTCTGTGATCACAGTAGGAATTTTGCATAGGTAAATTGTAAGTTTTGAAGGATTCGTAAGGAATGTTTGAGGAAACTGAGTCAGTGTTAAACATTAAGCAGTTTGCTCAAACATTTCTTAGAAATCCTTCAAAACTTATGTAGATTTTACCAATGGAAAATTCTTACTCTGATCACAGTGTAAACCATGATTCCAGCTATATACTAAATTTTGATCTACTGTAGGCAAGAAGAACAAAATCCATCAGCACAGCTAGAAAGAGCATGTTAAAATGAGTAAAATTGCAAAGTTTGCTCCCGAAAGGTTGTAAAATGAGGAACATATAGCCCTGCGAAATTTGCAAATTTTGCATTAATTTGTATCACGCGCGGGAAACATGCACCACTTTCGGCCCAAATGTGGTGCATTTTCCCGTGCGTGATAAAAAATAATACAAAATTTGCAAATTTCGCAGGGCTATATTTTCCTCATTTTACAACACTTCGCGGCCAAACTTTGCAATTTTACTAATTTTAACATGCTCTTTCTGGCTGTGCTGATGGATTTTGTTCTTCTTGCCTAGATCAAAATTTAGTCTGTAGCTGGAATTGCCTATTAAAAGACAATGGAACATTCAATCATGACTGGATGACATGGAGAACAGTGGGATTTTCAAAACAATGAAAAGACAATGGAACATTCTGATCACTGGATCATGACTGGATGACATGGAGAACAGTGAGATTTTCAAAACAATGAAAAGACAATGGAACATTCCGATCACAAGATCGTCACTCTCGCAAAGAGAACCAGGGTATGTGACTGAATGGCATGGAGAACAGTGGGATTTTCAAAACAATGAAAAGACAATGGAACATTCTGATCACTCGATCATGACTGGATGACATGGAGAACAGTGAGATTTTCAAAACAATGAAAAGACAATGGAACATTCTGATCACTGGATCGTGACTGGATGACATGGAGAACAGTGGGATTTTCAAAACAATGAAAAGACAATGGAACATTCTGATCACTGGATCATGACTGGATGACATGGAGAACAGTGGGATTTTCAAAACAATGAAAAGACAATGGAACATTCTGATCACGGGATCATGACTGGATGACATGGAGAACAGTGGGATTTTCAAAACAATGAAAAGACAATGGAACATTCTGATCACTGGATCATGACTGGATGACATGGAGAACAGTGGGATTTTCAAAACAATGAAAAGACAATGGAACATTCTGATCACTGGATCATGACTGGATGACATGGAGAACAGTGAGATTTTCAAAACAATGAAAAGACAATGGAACATTCTGATCACTCGATCATGACTGGATGACATGGAGAACAGTGGGATTTTCAAAACAATGAAAAGACAATGGAACATTCTGATCACTCGATCATGACTGGATGACATGGAGAACAGTGGGATTTTCAAAACAAAGAAAAGGCAATGGCAAATTCCGATCACTAAATCGTGAGCAGATGGGATCAAAATTTAGTCTATAGCAGGAATAATCCATTGCTAGTGTAAATCAGGCCTTTAAACTGAGGTCACAGTAGGAATTTTGCATCGGTAAATTCTAAGTTCTGAAGGATCTAGATCAAAATTTAGTCTGTAGCTGGAACTGCCCATTCTGTCGGCGATTTTTCTCTTCCTGGCAAATGTGATCGAATAAATGACATGCAAAAGACTTAGAATTGTCGAATTCTGAAAAGCGACTCTATACTTTTGTGTGTGAGTTCACTCATTTCCATCCGTCAGAAATACAAAATCGCCGACAATTTGCTGAGTGTGAACCGGTTACAGACGAGCAAGTTCTCTATGACAAGTTTTTATGTGACAAGTTTTATTTGCTCGTCTGTACGCGCAACTTTGACATTTTTTTCTATGACAAGTGCACTTGTTCAAAAGCTAGCATGCTACTGTAGCTTTTGAACAAGTGCACTTGTCATAGAAAAATTGTCAAAGTACAAGTTTTGTTCGTCTGTATGGGTCAACAAAGAAAACTTGTCAAAGTAACCTGAGCATTTGTTGTGATTGGCCAGCTGGCTACTATAATAAATTGTCAAAGTAAACTTGTTGACACGTTCACACCAGTAAATAAAACTTGTCGTATGAAAACTTGTCATATAAAATTTGTTGAATATACACACGTGCACTTGGCAAATAAAACTTGTCACATAAAACTTGTCATAGAAAACTTGCTCGTCTGTGAACCAGGGGTAAGACTTCGCATCTTACCCGACAACGGCACCAATACGCATGACATTATTTTGATGGAGAATGTAATCAGATAACAAGGCCAACGCAGGATCACATTCATTCCTTACTCCGGAGTTAACAATTCCACAGGCAAGCAATGCTCCAGCTTTTATATAGTCTTCAGCCGAGTACAGATACTTATCTATCTGTGTTAAACCTCCATCTACGTCCCAAATTAAGATCAGGCCGAGTGATGCTGTAGTACTCATTATACCTACAGTAAAGAGTGGAGAATTAATCATGTAAGCTAACTTTATTTACACTCTATCAGTTTCATTAAGGATCATCTCTTATTGATCCAATGTTACTACAGGAGGAAACCTAAACTAAACTAACTTTATTTATTTATACTGGATAGCTCTATCAGTTCTAAACTGTTCTTCCTCGAGGTCCAGTAAGAGTCATCTCTTACGAAGATCTATGATTTTGAAATAGTTTATCTTTCAAGACATTTTAACTTTGTAAATATTATATTTGTAAGATATTTTATCCTATTTGTCCATTCTTATATAATTATGTAATTTTTAGGCTTTATTTATTAACTTTTTGGCTACCTATTTTTGTTATTCTTGAGACTTTACAGGACAAACATTGATAGCAGTTTTTGTAATTAATTATTTAATTTTTACATAACTGACGTTTTTATCCTGTTAAAATATTCATCAATAATAATAATAATAATTGATCCAGTGTTACTACAGGAGGAAACCTAAACTAAACTAACTTTATTTATACTGGATAGCTCTATCAGTTCTGAACTGTTCTTCCTAGAGGTCCAGTAAGGATCATCTCTTATTGATCCGCTACAGAGAAGTCAGGTGAAAGGCACATGTCGTGTAACATAACACATTCTATCAACCACCCCCACTTACCCATGTCTTTATTCTTGTAGATCCATTTCGATTTCTCGTCCATGAGCAGTTTATCGGCACCGAAGCCAGCATTAAGAAACGCATTGACAAAAGATGATGCGAGATTCTGACGCGCTGAATCAACAGCAACGTTACCGAATGAAGACCCTAAAGGAAAACGTGACATCATTATAATCACGTAACATCAAGAACACACGTAAATTCTGGCGGCAAGTCCTAAAAACTTGTCTATAGTAAACAATTTTCATAAAGTTCAGACATGGATATTGAATTTTTAAAATAACTTACTGTGGCTTTCAAGTTGTGTTTTGTAAATGTCATCTGGAATTTTAGGCTCCATAATGTCCAACTATATAAAAAGATGTAATGCTAGTGTTTAGAACTGCTAGAACTCTACAGTATAAATAAAGTTAGTTTAGTCCAGGTCTCAGTCATACCTCTCTCGCGAGCGCAAGGAAGTTATTATTGAGATGAGTGTTAGATAAAATTTCAGTCAATTCCTCGTTATCCTCCATATCCTCATCCAGTTCAAGAAATATTTGTTGTCTTGCCAACATGAATGCAAGTTGTTTCATCATCAATTTATTTTCAGCACTAGAAACACAGATAGATCGTGAGCTGATGATGGTAATGATGATGATGGTTATGGTGACGACGGTGGTGGCGATGATAGTGATGATAGTGATGATAGTGATGATGCTAATGATGATGATAGTGATGATGGTAATAATGATGATGATGATGGTAATGGTGATGATGATGATAATGATGATAGTGATGATGATAGTGATAATGATGATAGTGATGATGATGATGGCAAGATGATGATGGTAATAGTGATGATGGTTATGGTAATGATGGTGGTAATTATGGTGATAATGTGAGTGATGTTGGTGATGATGGTGATGATGATGATAATGATGGTAGTGATGATGGTGGTGATGATAATGTAAGTGATGTTGGTGATAATAGCAGTGATGGTGGTGATGCCAATGTAAGTGATGTTGGTGATAATAGCAGTGATGGTGGTGATGATAATGTAAGTGATGTTGGTGATAATAGCAGTGATGGTGGTGATGATAATGTAAGTGATGTTGGTGATAATAGCAGTGATGGTGGTGATGATAATGTAAGTGATGTTGGTGATAATAGCAGTGATGGTGGTGATGATGGTATATATCTTCAGATATATAAAAAATTAGTTTCATATTTAGGTGAGTTAGATTTCGTCCTGTAATAACACCAGATCAATGAACGATGTCCATTATTGGACTGCAAGGGAGACGAAAGGAGTACAAATAAAGTTAGTTTACTGTAGTTTAGTTTGCATTACACTGAAAGTAGTCTTCCTGTATACCTTACCTTCCACGACAAGAAAGGAATACATCTTTAATGAGCTCAACGTCATTCAGTTGTATTGCAATCCTCATGGCTTCAGGATGTCGTTCAAATTTTCTATAGATTTCTAGTGATGTCTTTAGTAACTTCATATCGTCTGGTTCAGGAACGTAACTCACACAGCTAAAATAGGAATATTGGGTGTCTCAAGGGCGAATTACACTGCACAACTTTTGCCTAAAACTGTCGCATGCAACCTGCTTCCAACTTGAATCAGAAGTACAGTACACAACTCGCTATATATTATTTAAACATTGAATTAGGTGCTGCCAAGAATACTGTAAATTTGGTAAGACTTATGCCTTTTTCTTTGGCTATACTTGATAAGCTATTCCAAATAGACGCAGCACTGAGTAAGTAAAGCTCTTTTCCATAAAGATGGTTTCTGGCTTTCCAAGTACATAATTAGTATCATGACAGTGATCTTTTGCGCGCTTGGGTCTACATTTTATGTTTACATTCGGCTGTATCGCATGAATAAACTTTCATTGCAAACATTTTGCATAAAAAAACGTAACATTTCACAGGATATGATGACTTACTTCGTTTAAAAGAAGAAATGGAGTTGTGTTTCAATAGGATTCCGATAAATATGAACCAATACAAATTCAATCTTGGAGATCACTTATAAAAATCTCAATTAGAGACAGCCATTTTCTGGGACGCCAAGCTATCTCATGTCTTACTTTGTGCACAAAAATCGTCAATCACGAATTCTTGGCTTGATATACATTACCTGGTAAGATAAATGCAGACCCGCTGATATGTGCTGGATTCCACAACATCTAGAAGATAGTCCAGTCTGTCTATTTCCATGAGTAGATCACAAGCGTCGGTCTCTGCATTGTGCGCCATGAAGTATGGTACGATCTCCGTGGCAAGTTTGAAGAGATCGTCCACGGACTGTCCGGCAGTCGTGCGCGCTGCATATTCAACATGTATCTCCTCTGAGAGATGTCTGGAATGTTTGACATCGCATTTAGTACACCATTTATAAACAGGGGCGATGGAGGATGAAACTTATGAAAGGGAAGGGGGGAGAGAGGAAAGAAGGTGGTACAGTAGAAGGGAGATAAAAAGGGGAGAGGAGAGGGAATTTGAAAATGAATTTAAATTTGAAAGTTAGAGAGGGGGAAAGAGCAGAACGAAAGAAAGAAGGGGAAGGTGGGAGGAGAAAGGG